ATTTTGATTTCGGCGCTTCGCCTGTTTACCTTCTCTCTCGTCGCCTCTGCCTCCCTGATTTTGTTCGTCGCTCGTGTCTCCTTCACTCGTCACTGTCACCGTGAAAACCGAAAGTTGGTGCCAGTGAAAAGCTTCAAGCACCACAAACCTTTTCCACCATTTACAGACAAAACCACCAGCAGCACATCCTCATATTCCACAGAGTCGCGTCCTTTAGCCCAAAAGAAGCTAAACGAGCTGAGCTGCATGAGAAGTGCTGTTTATGCAAATGAGCCATGTGCTTAAGTTTCGTTTCTGTAAAATGTAAACACACGTGCGCAAAACTGTATTAAACACATTATTATCTCAAACGAGCTGATGTGGCTCTAGAGTCGTTATGCTTTATATATTGTAAAGTTTATTTATGCAGAAGATTTTAATTAATAATCTGCTGCAGTGTCACTTGTACAATAGTGTTTGGAAACGTTGGGTTTGATCTGCAGTGGATTGTGGGATTAAACCTCAGAGCTCCTTACTGCAGGAACATGGATCTGTTAAAATAATGAACATCCTGAACTTCCTCTGCTAAAGGAGCTCATGGTTCTGGTTCTGGTCTGGATAACAGAGTTAATGCAAAGATGAGCTTGTGTTCAGTTGTTTTATTTATGAATGAAAAGAAGAAATATGTTTTATTTATTTTATTTTACAGTTAAATTATTATTTATGTAATTAGGGTTTTTTGTAATCTTAAATGTTCCTATATGAACTGCCGACCTCTTACACTTCAATTAAAAAAAAAAAAAAAGGACCTTGTGGAATTTGGCAGATTTGTTTTTGCAGTTTTCAGTTTTAGGGGGTTATTTTTTCTTGAACATATATCAAGATATATATCGTATATCGAGATATAGCAAAATATATCGAGATATATTTTTTGATCCATATCGCCCAGCCCTAGGCTCTACTAATTACTATGTGGTTTTATATGTGTGTCATCTCTGAAAGGTTCATTTCTATCCTATAAATGTGACTTTTTAGTATCGATACTTCCTCAATCGAGAATCTAGTTTCAATATAAGTTTAAATATCAAAACTAGACATCAGATTTTCAATACTTTGATCATTCTAAGTGGGTTTTTATTATTTTAACAACTGAACTCTGTCTCACTAACGTTAACCAGTCTCCCACAGAGGTTTGAATAGTACAAGTCCATCGCTCATCCATTTCTAGATTATGCTTTTCATTTGTGTCTGTATCTCTCTCTCCCTCTCCTCGTTTCTGCTATCACTCCATCCTACGGCCTCGTTCTGGTGCTTACAGGACTCTCCAACAAAGTGAGTTTCTATGCGCTGTGTGGGAGTGAAGAGAGAGGAGAGAGGGGAGGAGAGGAGCGGCGCTGGAGAGGGGAGGTGGTGAGAGATTTACAGAAACGGAGAGAAAAAAAAAGGAAAGAAAGATGCAGAAAGAGAGAGGGGGGGAATGGGATATGGATACAGAGAGGGAGAGAGCGACAAAAAGAGGTAAGATGTACAGAAAAAGATGCAGAAAATGAGAGCAAGAAAAAGATAGAGACACAGAGAGAGAAAAAGAAAAGGAGAGAGTGAATCTGAAGAGAGAGAGATACACAGAGAGAGAGAGATACACAGAGAAAAAGAGATACAGAGACCGATAGAGAGAGAGAAAAGACAGCGAGTGAGATAGAGATACAAAGAGAGAAAGAGACACAGAGAGAAAGAGAGATGCACAGAGAGAAAGATACAAAGAGAGAGAAATGCAGAAAGAAAGAGATACAGACAGAAAGAGATACAGAGATAGATAGATAGATAGATAGATAGATAGAGATAGAGAGAGAAAAGAGAGATACACAGAGAGAGAAAAATGACACAGAGAGAGAGCAAAGAAAGACAGAGAGAGATAAACAGAAAGAGAGAAAAGAAAGACGAGAGAGAGAGCGATACACAGAGAGACATATAGAGAGAGAAATACACAGATACAGAGAGAGAGACAGACAGAAAGAGACAGAGAGAAATACACAAAGAGAGAGATACAGAGAGAGAAAAGAAAGACAGAGAGAGATACAGAGAGAAAGAGATACAGAGACAGAGAGAGAGAAAAGAAAGAGGGAGATACAGAGGTAAGACATGCAAAACAAGAGAAAGATAAAAAAAATTAAAGCAAGAAAGAGACAGACAAAGAGAGAGAAAAAGAAAAGGAGAGTGAATCTGAAGAGATAGATAGATACAGAGAGAGAGAAAGAGAGAGAAATGCAGAGAGATACACAGAGAGAGAGAGAGACAGACAGAGAAAAAAGATAGAGTGTGAGTAGGAGAGAGATACAGGGAGAGAAAGAGATACACAGAGAGATAGAAAGAGATATACAGAGAGAAAGAGATAGAGAGAAACACAAAGAGATACAGAGACAGATAGAGAGATACACAGAGAGATACAGAGAGAAGGAGGTACAAAGATGGAGAGAGAGAGGTACACAAAGAGAAAAAAGATACAGAGACAGAGAAAAGAAAAAGAGAGATACAAAGCGAGAGAGTAGAAACTGAGGTAAAGAGAGACACAGAAATAGAGAGTGATTGAGAGAGTGAATCCGGAAAGAGGGGGAGAAAGAGATAAAAAGAGAGAGAGAGAGAGAGAGAAGCATTTAGTGGAACAAAACATGCCGTTTCCAGCCCGATGAGGACCGCCTACACACACTCTTATGCGCTGCAGATTAAGGCTCATTTTTAGCACCCGCTCCACATGATTCACAGAGTTTCACATGAGCGAGAGAGCAGCAGACAGCAGCAGGGACGACTGAATGTAGTGGGTTTTTAAAAAGAGACGCTGAAGCAAATGCAATTCAGATTAAATACTCGAATAAGTGCCGAGTACGTTCTGGAGTACTTGGTTATGATAGCGAAGCGTAGCGTTTTTTTTTATAACTATGCTTGCCCAATTCATAAGGGTAAGGTTAAATGTGCAATATTAGTATGCAATTTTTTCAGTGGGGGTCCGTTACCTCCTTGTTTCTATGGAGACGTCATTGCTCTGATAAAAGTTTTCCAAATATGACTCTAAAAGTGCTCTATTTTACGTTTATTCAATTACAGCAGGTTTTACAGCTCAAAAATACCAAGAAAAACAACATTCTGAGTGTGAGCGGGGTCGCCTCTCCACAGATCTGATCTCTAACTTGGTCTAGTTTGGGTTTCCATGAAGATAGAAAGGTTTAATACCATACATTTAACACGCCCTCCACCAGAAGTGTTACACAATGCAGCTTTGTTACTTTAGTGTCCTCATAGGGAAATTCGTCCTTCCCATTTGACCTTTCCTTCAATGCCGCCGGGTTGAAAGGTGCTGGTGGAGGGTGCAGTATTTGCTCGTCTCCATGGCGATGTTTAGCCTCATTCATCAGCCGGTTTCACTTCGTGGAAACCGTCTGACCTCGCAGCATTAGGATTCGGTTGCTCAACTGTAGGCGGGTACTTTTTAATTTAACCAATCACTGCTATTTGGTCGTGACGTATGTAATGCGCCAAATCCCGTAGGAAGAAGGACAATAACGTTTTGCACCTGGATAAAATTCAAAAAACATTCTCTTTGTTCCGGCTTTAAATCCTCAATCCCGGGAATCATTGCCAACACAGAATGTATGTCTCCGTTTACATCCATCTCGACCACTTTGTTTACTGTTGTGCTGTTCCGTAAAATGGACCCAGACAGGCGCTTGAGTTTGACGTCATGGCTTCACAGCTCTTCGCTGATTGGCCGGAGCGAACTTCCATGGTTCTTGTAAACCATCTAGTGCATTCCGATTCCTGAACTAGTCGCTGGAGAGAAATGAAATTGAGCAGAGGCACTGGATGGCACCAGCCTGGTTAACGTTATTGTCCCCATAAGAAAATTTGCTCTCCGCATTTGACCCATCCTTTAATGCCACTGGGTTGAATGGTGCACTATGTAACTTTTGCAGGTGGCGGGCGCACTATTTCCTTGTCTCCATGGTGATGTTAGCTTTACCTGGAATGTTCCACTGTATGGCATTAAACTTACCTTGCATTTACTCAATTACAGGTGTTTTAATGCTCAAAATGCTACGGAAAAACAGATTCTTACAGTGAGCAGGGTCCTCCCTCCACAGATATGACCTGTAACTTGGGCTTTTCACCACAGAGATACTTAAAGGTTGTATAGAGGATTTTTTTAAAGGGAAGAGAAATACAGCGACAGTCCTTGTGCGCGTTCAGAATTACTGTTGAAGTGACCTGTCTAGAAGTAATTTAGCGACCGACACATCAGTTTTTAGACCCTTCGTCTGCTTCGGTCGCGCCATCACTGGACGAGATCTCCAAGAATCACCTCAGTTTGGCTTTGCTCCATTTCCTCTTCTCTTCTTCTTTCAGCGACCTCGAAAATGGACTTTCTTTTGCGGTCGTGGATTCTCGTCCGCTGTCGCGACAAAATTTGTGCGAAATGCGAAGAAGCGACAGTTCGAAAAAGCCTCTAAGAACCGCTGCATAAACCACGTAATCCCTGCGCTCCGACGAGTCAGTTATACTAAGGAGTTTGATTGACAACCTAACAGCCAATAGAAAATGAGGGAGCCTCGTTTTCTATTGGCTGATGTTTATCTGGCCTCACTACGTCCACAGTAGATAGATTTTCGTTCTTTTTTTTTTGGTCATCATAATTACAAAGCTGCTGCGTCTCTTTAATGGTATTTTAATCTTTCACTGACAGTTTGAAACTAAAAAAATCCTCCATACAACCTTTAAGGCCAAACTGCATTTCGTTCAAGGAGACAAGCTAGTGTGTATGTAACCAGAAAAGTTACGTAATGCACCTTTAATTTCAATAGGAAATCTTGTTTTGCAGTTATGAAGATATGAAGAAACCAGCGCCAAATTGAAGGAAAGTACAGCCAAAATAAAACTGTCTGGATGTCGTAAATGAATAAGTAATAAAAAGAAGAAGATAAGAAAGCACTGCAAAAATAAAATAAAAGAAGCAGACTTTAGAAAGTACTCACTGGTGAATTTGCCATCTTGTCCAAGCCAGTAATTTGTAGATTAGGGCTCCGGAGGTGAACCTGTAAGAGACACAGTTACACTGATGAGAACAAAGATGAGTGTAGTAAAAGTACAAGTTTGGGGCGCAGTTCCAACGTCATTTGTGCAGATTTATATAATGCAGAGACACAAATATAAAAAAGGTACACTATATAACATTTCGAGAAGATAGTCAGCAACCTGCTTGTCTCCATGGAGATGTTATTGCTTTACCTGGTATGTCCCTCAGTATAGCCTTTAATATACACACGATGGAAAAAGTAATATTTTTTTGTCACTTATTTCAGAAAATCAAACCCACATTGATAAAATATGCAGATTTGAATTGGTCTGAAGTATCTCCGTGGAGTCAAGCAGGTGACGCGTTCAAGACAAGTTACAGGTCAGATCTGTGGAGGAGCAAGCCACCATCAGGTTACATTTACACTGAAACGAATCACCGTATCGGAAACAATTTGCATCCAGACACGTCGTCCTGTGTCTGCAATCAAAGCCTTCCCTTCACACAGTAACGAGAAACAGCCTGAATCGCTGGTCACATGACTAGGCGGGTGTCATGTCGTCATGTCACGAGTCTGAAGTTGCAGCAGCCGATTTCAAGTCAAGGAAGATGACAAGTCTTTTCAAAAAGTCTTTTCCTGGACTGACTAGCAGCAAATAGTTCTAGCAGGCCGTTTCCCGTTTGTCTGTGGTTTGTTTAAACAGTCACACGAGTCATGTCATGAACCCAGCGAATCAGGAAGGTGCAAGTCACAGTGACGTGATCTAATAAGGACACAGCTAGAGCTCCTACGTCAGCAGATCAGCATTTTCAGGCGTCCACACAGTGCTGGATCAGATCTGTACTCAGTTGAATTCGTGGGAGCTGGCGGCACCAGATCGTTCCATCTCTGAAGCAGTTTTCCTTCGGATTAGTGTGGACGAACACTGCATCCACAACGAAAACGACTCGAATATGTACGAGTGTGGATGGGGCGTCAGTAAGTCAAAAGATTTTAGTAAGTGGGCTTCAGTTTTGGGCTTTTTAAATAGAAAATAAACTGAAATTGCAGTATTTTTGTGATGAATGGAATGAGATGCTCCATTCCAGGCTATGCTTCCACTGAAGGGAGTATTATACGCTCTAATCACATAGGTCAGATAACGAGGACTGAGCTGGCAGTGTCCTTGCGATTTCCGTATCTGTTAGACGTTAAACTAAACAATTTCTATTCCAAAATATAAAAGTAAATGTTACGTGATTTTCGTATCTGTCTGTTTATGTCAAGTTACTTCACTTTATCTTCCAGAGAGTTTGATTTCTTAAAGCTGGGCACTAGGCCTGTCAGGAAAACAAAATGAGTGATAACTGAAAAGAAATACTATTGAGACCAAACCAAAAAGCAAAATTATCCCAAAAAACTATTCTAAATGTACAATATTGTTAAAGAAATTAGAGCTGTGATAATTAAATAAAACTTAGGTAGTTAGTTTGGAATGGTGATCCAATTAGACAATGAGAAAGAAAAGATATAGAGAAAGAAAGTACAAGAAGGTTTTCACTTTTCTTTGGTCAATAATAGTGAGTATATGGTCATTAAATCATGTTTAGAGATTGGCTGATATAAGTATTTCATGTCCAATGTCAATTATATAGAATACAAAGCAAGTGATGGCCGATAAGCTCAGCTGATATTTTTTGGACTGATATACAGTGCTGATTTTGATTATTTTCCTTAAGTTATGCAATTTAAATTTACTACAAACTGACTTGCAGCCCTTGTTTTTCCCCACAAACCATTAAGAGAGCAGATTATTTATGTTTTGTTGTTTATCAAAAGTGTTCAAACAAAGCTTTGTGTGTACACTTTAGATATGTAACTTTCTGGTTGGGGGTCCGTCACCCCCTTCTTTGTATGGATATGCCATCACTCTGCCTGACATCTCCACAGAGAAAAACATCTGACAGACCCTCCACTTGAAAAGTTACACTATGCAGATTTTTAAAAAGTGTAAATATCGGCCCCTTTAAAGGGACAGTTCGGAATTTTGGACATAGGATCGCATTTTCTAGTGAGCCAGAGTGTTGGAGACGTGTGGAGACACTTTTTAAATATTCCATCCAGTCCTTGTATTTGCAGAGGTCACTGCAATGGCCATAGTTATCCTGCCTCTAAAAACAGTCTTACCCACTCCACAAAACACCTCAAGCAAATCTGTTATTACACTAGACCAGGGGTGTCAAACTCATTTAGGTCCGGGGGCCGTATCCAACCGACTTTGATCCCAAAGGGGCCGGATCAGAAAACTCATGTCATATATACCCCAAAAATAACAAATTCAAGTTCAAATATTTGTGCAGAGAAACACAAATCTATTACAGAAATCTTTTTTAATTGATGAATTATTTCTTTTACAAAATATTATATATATTATGAACAACCTGAAACTTTAAGAAAAATACAATTTCAACACAATGTTTTAGCATGAACTTGTTTAACATTAACTTGTATAAACAGGAATAAGTAAGTTTTTCTTGGTAAATTCTACACTCGGCTCCACTTTTCTCATGTTGGACATTTTTCTGATGAGGGTGTCACGGTCAACAGTCAAAACGATCGTCCTTTAAGAGCGTTTGGAAAGAGACAAGTCTTCATTTGTGCTGCTCTGGTGGGAGGGGCCACGTACAGAGACGCTGGAGACGCTGCTGTGATAAACACCACAGAAAATTAACAAGATTTTAATAGAAAATAGAATTACAATATTTTAGTAGAAGATCAGCCGAGGGCCAGATTAAAGGTCTTGGAGGGCCGGATCTGGCCCCCGGGCCGCATGTTTGACACCTGTGCACTAGACTGTTGATGTAAATGTCTGTGTTGATAGAATGTTTGAAATAAAAATAACCTTGCATCACATGAATTTTTGCCTGTTGAGGGACTATTTTCTCATATCAGTCCGCCGCTGGAAGAACAACTCGGTGCTGCTGCTCAGACATAAATCCTTCAAACGCAAGGTTGGTTTTATTTCTAAAATTATTCGGGACAGTCTGACGTAATAATAGATTTGCTTCGGGTGTTTTGTGGAGTGGGTAAGACTGTTTTTAGTGGCAGGATAACTATGGCCATTGACATGCACTAGTCTAGCACCAGCGACCTCTGCAAATACAAGGACTGGATGGAATATTTCAAAAGTGTCTCCACACGTCTCCAACACTCCGGCTCACTAGGAAATGAGGCTCCATGTCCAAAATTCCCTTTAACCATGCCCGTTCTTCTAACAATAATTGAAACACTCAAATTTTACATCGTGACAACTCTACAGCCCCAACGAAATTGTCACAAACTAAACTATAATTCATTTCCTTTTTGCGGAGCCTGGCTGGACTTTGTGGAAGGAGAAGGAGGGAGGGGAGGGGATGCAGCTGCCAGGATCTGCCCCGCTTTGTGAGGGACTGGAGCTAGTTGGGTTCCATCTGTTTGCCTGGGCGAGCTCTTCTAAATTGACTGGATTTGAATGATTTGCGGTTCTGTGCGGTAATCAGATTCACTACAACAGGAAGCAAGCGCTGAATAGGCAAGTTCACCCACAGTGCATCCCCAATTTGGAGGAGATAACAGCCATGATGGAAGAAGGCGGAAATTTTTATGGCAATACAAATGCAGAATTATAATGTAAACCGAACATTCAGGGGGGAAGTAGAATTGAAGATCAAATTAAGCGATGCAAGTTCTTAGAATAAAAAGTAATAAAAAGAAGTAAAAAGTGGAAGAGTTCAAGATATTAAAAGCAGCAAAAGCACTATACAAAAGTAGGAAGTACAAACTCAAATTTGAACTTCTGCATTTATTCAGTTAGATGTTTTAATGCTCAAAATACTTTTGAAAACATGCGCTATGGAGATACTTAGAGACTTAATGCCAAACTAAAACATTCAAGGGGACAAGCAATGTATGTACCACATTTTTTGGACCATAAGTCATACTTTTTTACATGGTTTGGATGGTCCTGTGACTTATACTCTGGTGTGACTTATATGTTAAAGTGTTCACACTGACAGCTGCGAGAGGTTCAAGGCTTGTGTGTCAGAATCTGCTGCTCTTATTACTCCTGTACCACTGTCACTTGGCTCTACTGCGCATGTCTCCTGCAGAAACAACCTCTGTCCTGCTGCAAGTAGTGAAATATGCAGCTGAAAACAGTAATCGAGCGGCAGAGAGAAAGTTTGGAGAGAGCGAGAAACTGAGGGATTGGCGGAAAGCGGAGAACACAGCTTCACTGGAACCGGGAGGGTGCACCGTGCAACTTTCCTGAAAATCATTGGATGGATTGACGAAGTCTGGACTTCAGTGACAACTAAAACCATCCTGTTGGGATTCAGAAAAGCTGGAATAATTCTAACTGGAACTGATGCTGAGTCTGACAACAGCTACACAGAAGAGGAAGCGGCGCTCTGTTTACCACCAGAGGTCGCAGAGTTGCTCAGAAGTGACACCGAGGATGAAGAATTCAATGGATTTAGTGATTTGGAGTGAGATGGAGAGTTTGGTAAACTTGTTCTGTTGTTTATGTTATATTTATCTGAAGAACTGTTCATATGTGACGTTCACAGACTGTTGTTCTCTGTTCTATTGTTTTTTTTACTCTAACTTGACTTTCACGATGAAATGTCAGTTCCTGGTCTCTGATTTTATAAAATAAATTTCCCCCATATGGTGCGACTTATGCTCCGGAGTGACTCCAGGAAAGTTACATAATGCACCTTTATAATGTAAACTGAACATTCGAGGGTGCGAAATAGAATTGAAAATCTAATTATGTAAAGCAAGATCTTAGAATATTAGCAAGAGTAGTTTTCAAGACATTTAAAAGCAGCAAAAGCATTACATAAAGTAGACCGTGAACTCTCATTTGAACTGCTTATTACTGATTTAAAAAGCAATTGGTACAAACCACAAATATACTGCAAGATACAACAAGCACTACGGAAAAGAACTTTTGATCTTCACTCTTCATACGCACTGCAAAATATGTTTAGATGAGC